TTCACCATTTTCATGTTCTTTTTCCTCCAACAAAGCAAGAATTTCATGCTCCAAACCTCACAAAATACTCTGCATTAGCTTTTATTTTTCCATTATGGGTCCAGTCAGTCTAGCATGCCATCAGTTGACTTCTACTTTACCAGCAGGGAATCTCATTTTTACTAAGTCCTGTGCATTTTACAGGGCCTCAGCAAATCTCAAGTGAGATGGAGATTGTGGGGAATGAATTGTAGAGTGATAAAAATGAGAAATACTGAAGATCACAAACACTTACTATCTGTGCTACTTTGGTGTATGACACAAAAACACAACTGCAAAGGAGATAGTGTAAAATGAAAGCTTGCTAATCTCAAACTTGTATCTTGTACTTGGCACAAGCCGCTTGTAAGAATCTAGTCTGACCACTGATTGACCTTGTTTACTGATCCAGTCTTGGAGTATTAATTTACTTTTTTGCTGGTGTGCCATTCCATGCAATGGTTGATGTACTAAGGCTAGATTAATAGTTTAATGTACAAAATTGCAGCTGTATGAAAATGAGAAGATGGTGTGGGGTTGTGATGATCTTTCCTAAGATTTCTGTCAAGGTCATTCAATCTAGAGCCTAAATTACCATCATACCTTAAGCAGTCAGCCACAGACTGGAAAGAAATTATTTCAGTAGAATGCAGCCAGGCAAAATTTATTCTTCTGCTCTGTTCTACTGTACACCTAGGGGACCCAGCATAGTAAGAAGTATTAGGTCTTGTGGGTAGAGGAGTTCCCACTGTCCTGAAAGAAGGGCTCAAAATATAGCAAAGTTATGAATCAGTGCATTTCCCTTTTCATTTGCTCACTGTTGAACCATCCTGTGTACCTCTTCATCATCTCTGCATCTCTCTACCTAAGCTACCTTGCAAGACAGGTGTGAAGACAGAATACATATACTGTAGGTCATGGACTCATGCTTCCTGTTGCCTGACTGTTCAAAGTGGCTTCTAAACTATGATTTCTGGATCTTGCTTATGTGTGATACTGTTTGATAATTTCCAATGCTGTTTCTGTCTTGATAGTGTTTGATACCAAATTTTAAAAGTGGAAGCAGTTTCCTCCACATCACTAATTATAATAACCCACATCTATAGCTCATACCAGATCCTCCTGCTCAGTGACCACGTTTAATCTGGTTTGTGCCCTTTCATTTAGGTCCCCATTGTGACTGCTTTACTTGGTGTCATATTGAATGAAATAGTTTGAATGTTTGTAAAGGTTGCCCATTAGCCAGTTTCAGGAAGAAGATAGGATTTATCTCCTTATCTAGCTCATTGTTTCGGAGCTACATGCGAAATGTCTTGACTTCACTTAAAGCCTTAATTTAAATTGTATCTTTAGAAGTTTTTTACAAAGAAAGCAAATATCCTGAATTCCGAGACATCAAAGCCTAAGGCCTTTTAACCAAATTGCTAAAAAAAAAAAGTATTTACAGTGATATGGAAGTCTCCCCAAAATGCTCAACAAAGGTAATTTCTGTTGAGTAAGATCCGAGCCCAAATTTGGGAGTTATGATAAGTTGAGTAGGAGGAGCCCCACTGACGGCAGCTCACTCAATAAAAACCTGTAACTTACTGTCCCAATTTGGAGGTGACTTCACTTGCAGAACAACGAAGGAAGAATCGCAAGTGTAAACTCGGATTAGATTGATCACCTAATCCAACCTCTCCGTGAACACGAATCTCTTAGTTCACGATGAAGCCGCGGAGCACCTGAAAGGGACTGAAGGAAGGGGACGTAGTCCTATCACTGGTGAGCCCAGCTCATTGAATCGTATTGCTGAGGCCAGCCTATTGAACCGTACTACTGAGGCCAACCCATTAAATCGTACTACTGAGGAATGAAACCATATTTTGGTATTTGGCTTCTAGGAATTCTAGGATTGTAAGTATATTATGAAAAATAATAGTATTGATTCAAATTTAACTTTTAGTTGTAATTGTAGTTGTTTTTGTAACACTAATTCTTATAGCATTGTTTGGGAAGGAAGTGCATTCGGAGCATTGTTTCTGATATATGTAATTATTGTGTTTTTAATGTTTGTGGTATTTCTTAAAGCTAAGCAGTGTTATATACGTAGCAAAGAGTTTTAAAATAAAATTGTGTTGTATAAATTAAGTGTGTAATCATTGTGAAATCGTGCAATCAGCTAACTACTCCCCCAGCCAGTGCATCAAAACGAATCAGTAAATTGTGTGGGATTTTCTCTATTCCATAACCCACTAGAGACACTTGGAATGGTCAGGGATAACTCCCAATGCTCATATGAACCAAGTAGCACTTGTCCAATCTGCTTTACAAAAAAATAGTCTGCTGGCTCATTTCTATTTTACTGTAACTTCTTTACCATTCATTTGGAATTACAGATAAGAACACTGTTCCACTGCTGAAGAAAGCCATGCCCATGATGTCCTAGATCTATAAAATACTTAGTAAATAGATCTGGACTGGTAATAAAAACAAATATCTAAGGAGTAGGAGGAATTTTATTAAAAAAAACTTTTTTTCTAACGGGACTCTTGTTTTGGCCTGCTTGAAAAACAACATTTTCATCCTTATTGGAGCCATTATTTTGGTTTATATTAAGCCAAAGTAATTTCCACATGGCTTTCTCTGTACCTTTTTGTCACAGGACATTTACTAGTATAAGACTAGGGGAAGAGAAGAACACTCAGCCAACAGTTAAAACTGCACACTCACTTATTCCGCAGACAAGAAGGTTCTAGTACATGCCATGGTTAAACCAGTGTACCCTTATAAGAAGTTATACTCCTGCAATATCTCTAGACCATACAGGATGAGCTTGGCAGAGGCTGGTTTTCTCCCACACATATCAGACTGCCATTATTTATTAAAATCAATAGAACATAAAGACAAAGTAGTGCATTAAACTGTACAGAAGGTGCATTCTACCCGGATGCTTTTGAAAGACTCAAACCATCAGTAGTCAAAAGTAGGTAAAGTCTTACTCTTAAGACTATTTGAACACAATTACTGTATTTTGCAAAACAGCAACTCTCTGTTTTGGAAGCACTATTGTGTAATTTTTTGGCTTGTGTTTTAAGATGCAACATTTTGTTTGCTTCATTATCTTGTCTTCTATAAAGTGATAACAAAAAGGAAAAAAAAACCCTATTTCACTGTTAAAACCTCTTTTAGATCCTCTATGAACTCAAAGAGCTTTGAACCAGTTTGCCAAACTGTGGGCCAGATTCAGATCTACTGAAGTCAATGGCACTATACAAATTCACAATGTGTCAGCATCTGGCCCTGTATATATAGTTCTTAAGACATTTTCCAAGAGCATGTGTGTAACATTTGCAGCTCTAAATAGGTTAATAATAAGCAGACCACATAATGTATTCATTGCAATATTAGATACTTTTTCACTTTAAAATCTTGGACATTTTAATTGTTGTGGGTTAAAATGCCAGGAATGTATAGTATCTAACTGTTGATAGAGAATTCCAACATTTTGTCTAAAAAAACTATGCAAATAAAACCAGTAACCTTCTATTTTTGCCAACTATCTTCCTTAGCAACAGCTCAATTTTTTTTTTTTTTTATTATATGACATGATTTGGAAAAAAGTTGATCTTGGACTGAGACAGATCTTGTATGTCCAGTGCAGCCTGGAACTAAGCCTTATGAAAGAGTTATAAACCCTTTTAAATCTGAGTTTAAAATAAAACCTTTACCTATGTTAAATAATAAACACATGCATCAAAGAAGCATACAGCTAAAGAAAGCCCATCTCAGATGAAAGCATAATGTTTAAAGCATGTGAAAGGAAGAAAATGAAAAGACAACAGCAATCCCTTGAGCTAGCACTGCTTGCTTTATAAAGAAATCAGTGTGCATTTGTACTGAAAGCATCTTCTTATATCAGTATATCACATTGACTACTAGAGACATTATTTTCAAGGAGAACTTTTCCCTCTCATCATGACAGCACAACAATCCATAATAACCTCTGGCTCAGTTGCATTTTATGGATTCTTCACTCACTCGAGAGACCATCACACCTATTAGGCTGCAATAAATTCCTGTTAGTTTGTGAACTGATCTTCAAGATAAGAACAGGGGAGGTAACAAAATAAAAACACAGTATGCATTTGGCTATGCTGGCTAGTTGCTCTTCTTCATTCTCTGGCTCTGTATCCTTGATAACTGGTTTTCTGACTCCCAGTAAATGCTCTTTCCTATCAGCCAAGTATCAGCATCTAAAGAATAGTGCAAGTATTGCACTGATAAGTAAGCAAGTTTCCTTTATAAATTTAAAAAAAGACAACACAACACCATTATTTGATAAGGCATGTCACCAGTTGTTCAGTTAATTATTAAAGTGATAAAGCTTTGGGATTCTCATTGGCAAAATTAAGTATAAAATAAGAATAAGAGCAAAAGTTTTCTTTTCCTGAACTACAACACTAACCGATCAATATTACCAAGGTCTGTTAATTTTTAATAGATAAGACAACACTGACAGCAAGAAAGGGTTTCAGAATGGATGGTAATGAATAGCTGCTGAACACGTAAAGATTTGTAAGGGAGTGTAAAAAATGCTAATTGAGCACATGCATAAATAAAATCCACAGCTGGAGTCTTAGACAGAGAAACTTTTGAAATCACTTCAACTGAAAATAAGAATTCAGTGCATCTACATGCAGATTAACTGAAAGGTGCTATTACCTACATGTTTCCAAAGGCCTGCTTGTGGTCTTTACATTCAAAACCCAGCTGTTTTCATCTCCCTCATTTCATTAAACAACAGGCATCCTAAACAGGAACAGACCTAGTCGTTTTTAAAAACTACTGGAGTTAGAATACCCTGTCAAGCTAGTCACTATAAAAAGAACCCACTTCTGTTGATAAGGTGCAATACAATTGGGTCTAGTGTAATACAGTTATCATTATAATTGTTTTTGTATTATTGATGGTCGAAATAACTGTTTTTGGAATTGTCTTACCTTGACTGCATAACTGTTAAGTGGATCTTTTGCATAAGAAGCTGAGTAGTAAACTGCATCACCTGCCTCACAACATGGCTTGTCACTGGTTAGCCTGAAGTCTGACCAGCTGTCCACCCCAAATCGAAGCTGGTCTTTTTGGCCAGCCATGAAAATGTCTTCACATTTGTTCGCCAACTTCTTCAGTGAATCAGTGTGAAGGCTTCGGATTTTGCCTACCACCTCCTCTCGGTTCTCAATGCCTCGATAAAGTGCTTGCCTCTGTGGTTTCTGGATACTCTTGCCTTGTTTCATCTGAGAGAGATGCCTCCCTGACAGAGACTCCATGCTGTTGGAACACCTGTCCTTAATACTGATAGTGGTTAGGCTGGAAACACTGTTGGCTGCTGAGGTGGTTTTTCTTCCTTTTTCTAGGGGCCTGTCCAAGGAATCTCCAGACTCATTGTCCAGTGCCTTGAGCTCCAAGCTGACTGAAGAGCAGGCACTGCTTGCTTCCCAGTTGGTGTCAATGTCATAGGTGGGATTAGCCACAACACACAGATTGCTTTCAAGGCTTTGCTTCTGGAGTTCTCTAGGTGTTGGCTCTGTATTTGCTCTTAAAATGGTCTTCTTTGGCAGTGGGGGTGGTGTTGGTTTCAAGTTAGTTGCTTCGAGATCTGCTTCTCCTCCGAAAGCAATAGCATCATCCATAGCTCCCTTTGGGTGCCGGGGTTGCTTTGGTGGTATCATGGCTGCCCTGGACTGTCCTGTGTAATGAGAAAATACAAAACCTTTAGAACACTGTGCATTTACAGTAACAGCATATTATACTTCTGTATGCAGGGTGAATAACAGGGAAGCAAGAAACTAGCTTGATGACTTGGAACAGGGGTGGTCAACTTGCAGAACAGGTGCCACAAGTGGCACAGGCAGCTTGTGTGTGTGGCACATGGTAGATTGGGGAGGGAAAAAACAGTACAGTGGCAGATAGGGCAGGGAGCAGAAAACAGAGCATTAGATCATGCAAGGAGCATGGGGCAAGAAGCAGAAAAAGCAGCAGCAGCTTCGTGAGGGAACAGCAGATTGGTTAAAGGAAAGGCATTTGAGTGGAACTTGGGTAGGATGTTAGGCTAATTTGTGGCAAACCTGCCAAAATGGTTGGCCCCTTGAAGGGTTCCTCAATCCACATTAGGAAAAAAATGCGAAGGTGCAAGCCTAGTTGTTGGAGGATCCAGAAACTAAGAAAACTAAACCAAAAGTGTCTGCATACTATCTTATAAAGATTGCTTTGACTTGTTTTCAGTACCCGTGAGTAATAACTAGTTCTATACATAAAACTACTCAGTTATGTTGAGCATCTTATATCTCCCAAGCTTAGTTAAAAGACAAAAGAACATGCAAGTCAAAAAGAATGCAAGTCAAGCCCAGCATTCTGGACAAATTCTAATGCTAGTAATTGCATTCTACCTCCCTTCATTCCCTTGCAGCCAATCGATTACAATGTTCTTCCTCACTTCCTGTTCGAAGCTGCTAGGTACTGCCAGTGGGTGCTGTTCGGCAGCTTTTGTATTTCATTCCTTTGGTGACAATGTTTCACTGGTGAGTGATGTGATCTCTTTTAATATTTTCTCACCATAGTCTGTAAAGCACTTTAAGATCATTTGGTCGGGAAAATGAAACATATTTTCAAATTATTATTGTTATAAAATATAACCTAATAAACCTGGTAGAAGAATTATACTGGAGCTGTTCAACTTCAGCCTGGGAGACCTCATCTCCATACCATCTATGTGGGAGCCCCCCCAACTTCTAACACACTGCTGCACAGCACTGTGGGCTATGCTGCCCCTCTTACGATGCACGGAGGTGGGAGCAGGATGCAAATACTGTTGGTGGGGGGGAGCAGGAGGGTGCTAGAAACCACAGCTGCAGCAGCAGTGGAGAGAGAAGGAGAGGAAGGGAAGAGGTAGGGTAGGAGCCCAGGGCCTACACATTAACCTCTTGTGGGTACATGCGCCCCTGGGCCACCAGTTAGACAGCCCTGAATTATACAATACAGATATATCCAGGCAATGATGTCAGAGATAATCAAGTTTGTGTCAGGAGATTGAATAATGACTTCAAGGCAAACAGCCAGTTAAGACTGTAAGCCAGCCCCCAGCTGAAGTTGATGGGACTTTTGCCAGTAATTTTAGAAAAAGTAGGATCAGGTTTGGGGATTGCAGAGGTAAGTCTTTATCCCCCAATATAAAAACATAAAACAAACAACCCCCTCCATTCTCAGAATAGTAACTACCTTTGATACTTCTTCCTCTGTGTTGAGAATACTATGTACATAAAACCCTGTTGTAGAACCAATCAAGAGATTCCTGCCTGAAGTTTCAGATACAAAAATCCCACCCAGTTTACACAGAGAGTCTAACTGCTTTCAAATATGTGCATCCTAAAAAGATAAAACTTCCTGATATGTGTGTTGGGTGAATGTAGAGATGTAGAATGGGGCAACAAATATCTATTTTTAAATCACCAAAATGCCAGGAAACAGAGAAGTAATTGGTCGTACACAAACAAAACAGATGAAATCAGTGACCAATTCATTACTTTGTGGCAACTAAAGAGTTGCTGGGTGTGTAAAAGTAAAATGATGCATTTTCCCTTTTTTAATAAACCAACTGCAATTTTAACAGAAGTTATTTTATAAATTTTCTACTACATCTGTGAGGATCATTGACCATAATGATAAGGTAGAAAGCCAATTTCTACAATTGCAACAGAGCAGGCATGAAATGATCTCTATATATTTCAGCAAGTGAACATTTCTACTTAGAACGGAATAGCAAGTAAAAAGAATTTGAGACTATTTGACTGTTGGATAAAAATATGGTGCTCTGCTGAATTTCTGTAAATTAGAAATGGGTCTCAACTGAAACACTCAATTCAAACATTGTAAAACTTTGGAAAGGCTTGATTACAGATTTGGACCTCATGACTAAAGCCTGTTTGTAATAGAAATGTATTATGGAAACTTTGAAAAGGGAATATTCTTCCTCAAGTTTTAAAATATGCAGTCACGGATGTTAGGAGCTGCACAGAAGCCATGATTACCCCTAATTCTACTGGCCAAAATGCACAAATACCTGGAATACTGGGTTAGACTATGGAAAAGATATTTTAATTGAGAAGATTCAGGAAGACTGTATTTCTTGGTACTATGAAAGGCAGTGGAAAGCCACAAATAGCCACAAAGAGAAAAACCCTGTATCCAGAGTTTTTTCAGTTGTGCTCTGATAATGACATTGAGAGAACCATCATCACAAACTATCATTGAGCAACTCAATGAACTCAAAAAACAACTTTAGAAAAGCCTATGCATCTTGCAATAAGCTCTAATTTTCCAGTGGTTAAAACTGAGTTTTGAACAGGAAGGAACTGTACAAAGAATGTCTTCCTAGATCACTGATTCTCAACCAAGAGTGATATGGGGTACCATCCAGTGTTAACACTTATAAATGTACCATCAGTTGACATGATCAAGCCAGAGACTTGAAATAGGAATCCACAGTATTAGAAAAATTCTGACCTGTTATGGTCTTTTTGAGTTTTTCAAGAGGAGAACGCTCTATTATTTTTCTGCAGTCAAAAAGAAGTGCAAACTAAGGGCTGGCATTTTCTGAGGGATACCTCAAATCTAAAAAGATTGAGAATCACTGCCATAGATGATCGTCCTCTTCTGCATGATCATCAGGGAAAGCCATACAGAGCTGCTTCCATACGCTGTAACTTTTCAGCTTCCCCAAAAGAAAATTGTTTAAAGATGTTCAAGGATCCTAGTTTCCTTTTCTCATATCAACACCACACCTGCTGAAAAATGTAGCACTTTGGAGATCTTTTAATGCTCTCTGCTGATCCGTGAACCCTCTTACTGCACTCAGCCTGGTCTACTACTCACAATTCTTTCTCCAAACTGTATAGAAGATCTATTGCATGCAATCCAGGTAGCCAAATAGTACAGGAGCTAGATGAGTAGGTCAGGCTTGGCAAGGGATGCAGAAAGCAATGACAAAAGTAACAGCCAAGGGCACAACAAGACATAAACAGGTCCTCAAAGCACAACATTAAATGGAACATTCCCTTAAACAACTTTGAAAACACTTCTTACATACAAGTCAGTTGCATCATACTCGCATTTAACTTGCGCAAAGTCAACTATACGCGGGATGGGGGGGGGGGGGGGGGTAAGGGTTTGCTAACGGACAGGGGGGGGAGCTGGTGTTTGCACACATGCCTGGAGCTGTGTGGCCAGCTGCCGGGCGGTGGCGGCAGCATGGTGGTGGTGGCCAGGCGGCACGCAGCCATCCCCACCACCACCCTGTGCTGTGCCGCTGCCGCTGGCCGCACAGCTCTAAGCACGGCTCTGCAGCCGCGGCGGGAGGTTTTGGAGGCAGAGGAAGTCACCGCTGGCATGGTAATAAGCAATTTCACTATACGCAATTTTCGCCTTACACGCTGACTTTAGAACATAACCTCCGTGTTAAGATGCGACTGACCTGTATTTCCTCCTCTTTTTTTCACCCATTCAAATATCTCTTAGCTTATACTGGACTCTTTACTTTTTTACAAAATCTGAAGCTTTGAATTCTTTCAAGCCCCATTTAGTGTCATCTGCTTTGCTTATTCCAGCGGTGGGCAATTATTTCAGCTGGAGGGCCACTTAGTGAGTTCTGGTAAGCTGTTAAGGGCTGCAAGGGTGGCCCCACCGCTTGACAAGCACCCCGCCCCTGGTCGCCATATTGGGACCGGAAGCCCCACCCCTAACCTCTGACCTTTGCCACTGGAAGTCCCTCCCCTTACCCTTGGAAATACTACTTTGGAGAAGGAGGGTTGCCATCTTGGAACCAGAAAAAAAACAAACAAATTATATAGTAAAAATCAAACATCCATAATAACATGTTTTAATTTTATTTAAAAAAATATTTTGTCCTGATGTGTGTGTGTTTGCACTGTGTATATATAGAAGTGATTCCATAATAGCTCAAAATGAAGTCTTACTCTTGGATACTGTGTGTGGGAGGGGTATGGGTGAGGTGGTATGGAGTTTATAGGGGGCTGTGGGTGTGTGTGTGGATGTGTGTGTATATGCGATTTGGGGGAGGGTGTGTGGGTATGTGTGGATGTGGGTGGGTATGTGGGTATGGGGCTTGTGGGGGCTGTGGGGTGCGTGCAGGGGGAGGGTGGCTGGGGGTGTATTGTGTGGGTACATGTGTGTGGTGGGGTGTGTGTAGCCTTGAGTGGGGCTCCCCCCAGAGGTGCATGGCTGTGAGTGTGGGGGGCTGTTTGGGAGGGTGTGGGTGGATGCAGTGTTTGTAGGGCGTGATGGTGTGTGGAGGAGAGTGTGGTTGTGGGGTTTGCGGTGGAGGGTTTGTGGGTATGGTGGGGTGTGCATGGGAGCCCTCTCTCTCCCTGAGCTGGTCAGCACCTGCCCCTGCAACAGCCCAGAGCCCACACTCACTGTGGTCCCTCCCCACCACTGCGAACAGCGCGCAGTTCTAACGCACTCCACGCCCACTGTGCACTGCCTGGCCGTGGCACATCCTGCCACCTCCTGGACATGCAGTGGGGGTGGGTGGCTGCCTCTGGCTGCTGCTACTGCTGGCTTCAGCCCCACAGTACTGGCAGGGACCTGCATGCATGGCCTCAACCCCATGCCTGCTCCAGACTTACCTGTCCAGGATAAGCAGCAGCAGCAGCTGGGCAGAAACTGTTACTT